GTCTCAAACTCAACTCAGCTGAAAGCTCAGGACAACGTCTCAAACTCAACTCAGCTGAGTTTGAGACATCGTTCTGTCCCCTTTTTTCTTCCTTCTTACACTATTTCTTGCGAATTTCATTCCCAGTCTCGGGATTTTGCACCATGATCAACATACACCAGCTCGCCTGCACCTTGGCAATTTTTTTTTTTTTTGTAATTGCTTTGGAGGTTTATTTTCTGGGGTGGAAGAAACGCTGAGCAAAAAGCACAGAAGCTGACGCAACTTGAGGTCGAAGAGCGTTCTACCGTACCAGTGGCCTCGGAAGAGGAAAAAAAAAAGGGGAGGGGGGGAGGGGGGAAGGAGCTCACCTCCAGTCTCTGCCCCCCCCCGAGATATTTTGGACTGTTAAAGAAAACAATACGGGGAAAGAGGGCATGGTCGAGCTTATTTTAATTTGAAATTATTTATGCATATGTATAGCTACTGTCGCTCTTCACTGCATAAAAGATAGCGTAGATGGTCATTGTTAAGGCCGGTTCTCACATGCAGCGAAGCGCTGATGTAACGCTGCTCACGTGCCGTCAGGTACTTATCGTATGCCATGAGCAACAGTTCTGATAGTGCGATACAAAGCTGGTGAACAATCCCGTCGGCACGTGTTTAGCACGAGGTCAGCGCTATGCTTGTAGCGCTCCGCTGCATGTGGACAGGCCTTTAGAAACTCGTTGTCAGGAGGCACTACTCGTCACATGCTCGGTGGCTCGAAAGTTCAAAGCTATGTCTTTTCGACCTAAATAACTGTGCCATTGGTAAAAAATATTCAATAAATAAACATAACAATAAATGCAAAAATAAAAAGCTGGAGAGAAAAAAAACAAAAAACACTATCAAGAACCCGCCGGAAGTGTTGTATTCTTGCATATTCAGAGGCCCAGAACTATCAAACGAGTATCTCCTACCAAAATGTGTACAGGCCAAAAGAAACACGTCCAAAAAACGTAAAATGCGAAAAAAAATTTTTTTTTATGACGCGTTGAATTTGAACAATTTTAGAAATGTTTGGATATTTATTCGAAACTCGTCTTGAACAACAATAATCATATCTTAAGACGACACTCACCTAGGCTATATATAGATCATTCTTAAAAAGTTTAACACCTCTACCATAAATAGCTCCGGCTATAGCGCGCTTCAAATATGGCACAAACGACAATTGTCAAAAACCCGTCGTCCTTCCTCGCTCCTTCGGGAATCTATTTTTCTAAAACCAAGCATGCCAGATGATTGAAAGAAACGGCATTGTCTTTCGCAAGGAATGCAACACCCCATGTAAAATTGCGAAAAAAAAAAAAATTACGAATGTACCTTACTGCTTGAATCCAAATGAAACCGTCCGCCGGTCTTTCGAAGTTCGACGGACTTAAAACTTTTATCCTAAAAGTTCGAAGTTCGTCGACCTTTTGACTTTTCAGGAATCGAGAGTTCGACAATTTTCGAATTCTTTAGATTAATAAGTTCGAAAGTTCGAAAATGATCTAATTTCTTAGCGTAGGAAGTTCGGAAAGCTTCGAACTTTTTAGTGCAAGAAGTTCGAAAGTTCGAAAACTATAGAATTTTTTAGTCTATCAAGTTCGAAAGTTCGACAAGCATCGAATTTTGCAGCGTAATAAGTTCTAAAATTTGAAAAGCGTCGAACTTCTTAGTTTAATAAGTTCGAAAATTCGACTTCCGTCAAATTTCTCGATATGGAAAGTTCGAAAACTTTCAAACCTTTCGAAGCGCTTGATTTGATCATCGAAACTTCGATTCGAAAAAAGTTTGCGGCATCCCTAATCAGCACTACCTACGAACAATAAAATCAGTATTATGAGCACCACCAGAGCCTCGCCCCAATCAACATCATTCACCACGTGGAGATGTTGCGATTTTAATTTTTTAGTCAGTCATGGTATAGGTGGTATCATGTCACTCATGGTATCAGTGGTATCATAAAGTTTTCAATATTTCGCTTTTGTTTTTTTTATCAAGTAGATTTTACTCTGTTGAGTATTGGAATACTTTTGTTTGCTAGACAGATATACTTGGAACATTTGTATTTCCTAATAATGAAAAATGTGGTCAGTATTGGACTTTTTTTCATACCATACTATTGCATCTCTAAATGGTTTTGTTTTCAACTTGTGAAATGTGCAATTTAGCTTGGCACAACATTTTGTTTTCATGAGGCTTAAGTTGTGCTTCTTTTTTTATGAGGCTTAAGTTGTGCTTCTTTTGTAGACTATGCCTTCTATTGTAAATCCATGAGAGGAACCAACGCACTACCAGAACAGTTCTCAATCGCTGCCTCTCAAATATTTTTTTATGCTGGCTGGAATATATTTCAGGAAAGGGTTTGGAAGTGGTCCCGGAATGTCAGGTGGAGATGCTTTTTCGTTGATATGTTTTGGTATTTAGAGAAACGTGTCTGCGCTTATAGCCCCAAGTTTGACCTGGGTGACCAGCTCCAAGATCTACTACTACGAAACTCGACTTTTGTTGCTCCTGAGCTGCTCCAAAGCAGAACTTACACCTGCTCCAAATCTTTGCTGCTCCTACACCCGCTCCAAAAGGCTGAAGCTCGCTCCCACCCTTGTTAATGGAATGTGATTTGTTCTAGTACGTTGGAACATAATGGTGCAATTTTTTTAAAAATGTCAATCGAAACCTACTTTCACTACTGTATCATCCAATTTTGAGGGAAAACATGATCGTATGGGATGCTGGCTGGAAATAAAAAAGAAGGGCTGAAAAACTTCTGGGATTGTATCAATGAGATTTCACTGTTTGGGCATCACTTAGCGAACAGCAGAAGCTGTGGCCCCAGCAATCCATTATTTGCCCTTGTTTGTAAGCTGAAATATGTGGCATCAATCTCTCCATTCAGAATTGAAAGTTGCTCAGAATCATTCATCACTCTTTATACTTTCTCTTTATCACCGCAAGGACAGTGTAGCGACAGTGAAAATCAACTTATCATTGCCTTTCCCAAAGAAGAAAAGTGTACAAGTGTTGTAAGTTGGGCGAGTTGGTATGATGACACGATGAACAGAACAGCGCACACAAAGACAAGGACAGAGAAAAGGAACATGCAGGACACACAAGCGCTGACTCGCAACTGAATTTATACACAAAAGGAAGAAAACGTTCTAAAAGACACGCAGGGCACGCAGTGCTTGTCACACGCGACACAACCCATCTAGCTCCAATATCTTTGCCCCATAGTCCGATCTAAAAACAAGGTTTCGGTTTGTAGTAGTGTCACTGATGGGTGGCTGACGCAGCAGTCCCCCAGGCTGTTGATGCAATGTGCTTCCAAGATTTCGCGAGTCGTCTCGATAGTGTCCAATTATTGTTGTGCCTTTTAGAATCGGAGCAAACGAGCAGGAATTGCAATGAACGGGAAGGCCCACCGTGGATTTTAGTGAATGATCCTGTTCGAGAAGGCGATCGTTTAGGCACTAGCAAAGACAAGTGCCAGAAACGCCTGCCACCCTTTGCCGTGTTCAATTGGCGTGGTGTACAAAATCCGACTAACGTGTGGTAGAAGCTATGTGGGCCAAACTGGACGGTGCACTACACTACCCAACGGATTTTTCAGACATCACAGGGACCGAAAAAACGTCCGAATAATAGAGCAGTCCGAAACTTAGCGGATTAGGGTACTTCGCTTTGTTACATCTTAGTGGACTTAAAAAAGTCGCCAATAGAGCCTTGCTTCAGGTTATGCCTCCGCTTGCATGCGGCCTCTTTCTATTATTGCTGCTTTCTTTTCTAGTCTTATGGTCGAGTACTTTCCGCACTTCTCAGCGTCTCTTCGCGGCGGCGGAAGAACAGTTAAGGCCGTGACGTCCAAGTCAGCTTAGTCTGAAAACACGATTCACCGAGACAAGATGAGAGTCCACGTCTGCAGAATGGCAAATGAACGAAGGAAAATGGTAGCAGTAATAATGATGCGCAGCTAGAGAAACCTAGCAGTAGTCAAGTAGCGCCGCCAAATTGAACAAAGCCAATCTATGTGTAGCCAACATAGAATCGAAAATGGCGGCCCCTCGGCGGTGTTTCCCGCCGATTGCTCACGACGATTTTGTCAGAAAAATCTAACTTTCGGACTTTACGCTGTCTGAAACATGGGTTGTTAATATGCACCATTTCTATCGGGTAAGCCACAGTTCCTCCTTTAGGTCCGAAATACTATTGAACGAGTCCAAATTATCGGCATCCGAAAAATCGGTCAGCAGCTGTAGGTAGTTACACCGTGATCATTTCTCCGTTGCATTACAGAATTATGAAACCGATTGCTGACAATACATTGCTATATTGCTTTTAGGGGTGGGTGCTGAGTATCCTAAATCAAATGCAGCGAGAGCAGTCTTACAATACATATGTTCAGAGTCTGTTCCAATACTTTACTAGAATACATTTTACTCTGCACGTTTGCATTAGACAGTGCGCCTACAGCACCAAACCCTCCTCTATCAGCGAGGACACATAGCGTCCGAGAGAGCGCACGCACGTTGCATCGTCCACGCTGTCGCACTTGTGTGCTGCTCGAGGGAAAGGGCTGCCGTTTATGCACCGGATGTTCCGAGAGAGCAGTCTCGAAGGCAGTCCTCGATGTTAGACGGTGGCAGCCACCCTTCCCAGTTAAAAAGGGAAAACTCCCAAGGTGATACATTTGTCTAGTTGTCCAACCACGCCAAAGCCGTAGGCTTGGAGGCCATTTCATTTTCACGGAGCGAGGTGCATTCTGTAGCGAGGTCCGTTTGTACCGATACGGCTGAGAAACGTAAAGGTGGTGGGCACCTCTGCTACAAAGTATCTAATGCACCACTGGCGTTTTTGTTCATTAACCTACATGAATAGTTCTATCTGTATCTCTGTGCGACTTGCGAGGTGTAGGTTCGACACGCTCTTCCGAGCGAGAATGTGAAGGGTATTTCCGACTGATGACTCTGCATTTATGCTTCCCTCGAACGCAGTCCACCCTTGCGCTGGAAGAGGACCTCCTTCTCGTGGACGACGAAGAGGAAGAAGACAGCGAAGCACGCTCCTGGAGACGATGATGATGACGGCCTTTTTCCTTCGTTGTTTCGCTCTCTTTTTTTCTTTGTACATACGCGTGTTGACTGCATCACGTCAAAGAATTTTTTTTTATTTCGTTTAATTATACAGTCACACACATATTGCTACATGGATAAGCGAAGAAGTCATCCCCTGGAAGCCCAGTGTTTCTTTCTGCATTGTTTCTGTGCCCCTGGTTCCTCCAGAATTCTCCTTTGTCGTCTTTTCTTTTTTAACTGTTTCGCATAAAACGATTAGCGACGTTTTCGGTCAGCCTTTGCGGTGGAACAGTTTCTCTTCCGATTTCGGGGGGTGGGACTCAGTTTTACGACTCGACGTATCTTTGTTTCACTCTTTTTCCTCTGTTCCTTCATTGTGCAGCATTTTATTTGCTCGAAAGGATGTGGGTTTGGTTTCCTTATTTCCCCAGCCCTGGGTTGTAAAGTTGAGTTGCTTCTAGTGTCATTTGCTAACCTGTCACGAGTGCACCAGTATCGCTCCACTTGCCGAATTAAGTGGTTCTGGCGACCGTTTTCTTTTTCCCGCGTGCTTGTCCGTTGCGTCCTTGGCACGTTTTGGATGTCCCAGATTTTTTTCTTTTGCGATGTGTTGTTGGTTGATTGTACTCTTCATTTCTTTTCGGAGATTTGAACGCCGAAAAAAAAAAAAAAAAAAAAGAGAAGAGATGCTTGGTATGTTTTGTAAATAGTAGTATGTGAAATAAAAGCTTTGCACACGATATGCAATGCATATCTGCAGACAGACAGACGAAAACATGGGATGGATCTTTGATAGGGAAAAAAAAAAAAAGAATGGAAAAAAAAATGAACCGAGAAAAGGGGAAAAAAAATGAGAAAAAAAAATCCACCTTTTGCCAGTTTTTTATGGGTCCACACATTAAGAAAAAAAAAAACGTAAGAACAAAGTAGAAAAAAAAAAAAAAAATGCTGCCTTTCGGAGCGTTTTTCCTGGACGCCAACCCTCCCGTGTCTCAAAAGAAGCCATCGTGAAGCCAGATTTGAAGTCGTCTTGAAGACAAGACAGCGAAGTGGGCTTGCCCGGAACACGGTGGTAGGGTGAGTGCATGTCGTTGGTTGGGAAGTTTTTTAATGACATACTTCGTTGCAGCCTTAGAAGAAGAAACAGCGAGGAAGACGGCTTGCCAAGCGTCGCAGCCCGATGTTTGTGCATTCCACCGGACTGCGTGTCGTTTAGGTGAGTGAAACTGCGAATGTATAACTCTCAGTTTAGGAGCATGCGACCCGAAACTCCCGTTCGTGTTCTGTGTATTTCTAAGGATTGATAGCTCAAATCCAAAGAAAACTCGCAAACAGTTCCTGAGTTGTGGCAGTTAAATACCGTTAAAGGGACACTGACAGGGTATTTATGCTTGCCAAGGTTTTAATTTGTACACGACACACAAGTCCAACTGCCCAGAACACAATTGGCGGTTCGAAATTCGTTTTCTTTCCGCCCGAAAAGCTGCCAATTGAGAGCTGGCCGGTTTGAGTCGCGCTCACTGTCTTCTCCGTGGTCCCGTGCAGTTTCCTACGGTTTAGACGTGGCCACCAAATATAATCGGACCCGTGGTTCATAGAAAACACACGCGCAATATCAGAAATAGAAAAAGATATAAGATACCCATTTTTTCTGGCTTCTAAAAGGCTGCAAATACGTTGATTGAAAAACTTTCAGCCTTTCCACTGTCATGAAGGAGGAACACCAGCGAAGCTGTGCTATGGTGGAAATGAAGTATTTATAAATGTAAATGGTTATGTGAGAACCGTATTGTCCCCGGTTGCCTTTGTTGTACCACGTCAACCGCCGACGGCTCATAAACGGGAGTTGAGGCGCCACCAGTCGTTCCTTCACCACGTTCAACCTCGGTAGGTGCTCCGGTACGGGTGGGTACTTGTAGCCGTTCATGGTCGCAAACCGGGGGGCACCGTGCCCTTGACCAGAGAATCTTGGCACGTTCTGCACGCCGGTTATTTGTGGACGTCCGCTGACTCGATGCACTGCCGCACCGCGTACGCGCCCGTTTCCCGCCTCTTCTTGTCCGACACGCTGCCGATTGTGCATAAGTCTCCGGCGAGTCAGGGTAGGTCACACACGGCGCACGTGATGCCAAACGGGTTCTCCACGAAATCCCTCCGCAACCTCGCCGTCGCACTCGGGAACTGTTCAGCCGGCGTGGAGTGCTGTCGTCGCCGGGCCTCGCGCTTGCGCTTGGCCTCTGTGGTCCGCCAGCGCCATTTACATCGCCGGTTCTGTTTACGGCGTCGGCTTTCCAGGTGAGCGATGTGCTCTTCTTTCGCAAGGCAGTCCGACGCAATGGATGCAGTGGAAGTCGAAGCGACAGCGGCTTCATGTCGGCGGCGGACCCATTTGCGCTGCTGCGTACGTCGCCGCTCTTTCCGCACTCAGTCTTCTTTGCCCGAAAGGGCATGTGGCCAACCCAACCCGAGTCCAAACCGAAACTGGTTAGAGCTAGGAAACAGCGGGCAAAATAGACGAGGACAAAGGAACACGCGTGACAAGCGCTGCGCTCGTCACATGTGTTCCTTCTTCGTCCTCGTCCGTTTTTTGCACTGTTTCCTACGATGAATTCCCACCAACTCGCCCAACTATCCATTCTTCTATGATAGCTGGAAAAGTTGCTGCCATCTATGAGCGACGCCGGCAACCAGACTGGTTGCCTGGTTGCCGCCGTCGCTTATAGATGGCAGTAGCTGTCCAGAGGTTTGTGTCAGCGTTTGTTTGGTACCGGACATGATCCTGGGGTACCTAGCCCTTAACAGCTCCGCTGTAAAAAGAAAAAAAAGTTTACAGCCACGTGACTTCTGACAATGCTCTCCTCCTCTATATTTGTTCCTCCCCAAGCCAGTCTCGGTTTCAGTTTCGAGCTGTTGCGTTTTTTTACTTCATTAAAAATATATGCGATGCTGTAGCAAAGTATACACGAACTCAACTCTCCTACGTCACGCCGCGGTGGTGGCGCGTCGGACGCACTTCCGGTCTGGGGCGGTGAGCAGAAGTCGCTGTGCGAGACATGCATTCTTGTGTTCTTTTCGGAGAAACCAGACAAAAAACCTGCGTTCTCGTCAAAATGCTGTGACGGGGGCTCTACCAAAAGAGTCTGGAAAGGTTTGAAGATTAGTTTTCATGTGTTTCTGCCCGCTCCGTTCGTCCGAGTATGTGGATAGTAGCCGTGAAAAGGGTAAACCAGACGCTGTCGAACTACGATTGCTTGTGCGGGCAACACTTTGTGGTCGTCAGATGTATTCGTTTTGTTCCAACATGAACGAGAGAAAACCGCCAAGTTGTCCGGGCCACCCGCGGGTTCACTGTGTCTTCAAATTCACACAGCCGCCTGATCGTTCGAACTTTCGTCTGCTCTTTTGAACCTGTCTGGTCTTTGTCGTTTGCTCGTTCAAACAAAAGCGGCCTGTAGACCAAACTGTGACCCGGTGATTGCAATAAGAAGTAATTGCAGGCCTCAAACGTAGGCTCTGTGTAAACAGTACATACAAGATGTTGATCATTGGTACCAGTGGCCATCACCGACTTGTTACGCGTGGTCTGTTTCCGCTTCAGGATTTCAGTATCGACGTCGATCGTCGCTGCTACCTTCTACACTCCTGCAGCACGAGCGACGTCGCGACCGAAAATATCTAGAATCTCATCATGGTTTTGGCGTTCACGCGAATGGATCGCCGCACGTCAAATTATTTACGCAAAGTTTAGCGGTGTAACGAGCCTCGATAGTTTCGATCAGGCGATTAAAGTGGTAAGGCATTGCTACGAGGACGTAGAATCGACAATTCCAACGCGAAAAAGAGTATGCAGACTCACACAGACGCCGACAATGTGACTTTCCAATGGTTTTTGAACGCGGGACGCAATGCTTCTTGCCCGCACTTCATTTCGTATGTGTTCGAACTGTCGTCTGCTCTTTCCAACTTGTCTGCGTTTTGTCGTCAGTGCGTTCAAACGACAGCGGCCCGTAAACCGAACGTTTTTTTCGGTAATTGCGATAATAACTAAGTGCAGGCCTCAAAAACACTTTTGAAGGTCGGTTGGGGTAAGTAGGCTAAGTGTAAACAGTAGATACATGAAGGGGTTGATCATTCTTACCAGTGGCCATCACCAACATGCAATGCCCGATTCTACTTGCGGTTTTCAGTATCGACGTCCACCATCTCAGCTACGGTCCACGCTTTTGTAGCCCGAGCGACGTCGCGACTGAAAATAGCGAGCAGAATCTCATCGTGGGAGTCGGGCTTTAGCGCCCATTCTGCGGCGTCCTCATGAAATGAATCGACGCAAGTCACATTATCCACGCAAAGTTTTGCCTCGTTAATTTTGCTGAAGCCGCTCAAGTAGTCGGAGATTGTTAGGAGGACGTAAAACCAACATTTCCAACGCGAAAAAGAGCGCGGGGACTTCCACCGACGCCGAAAACAACGCAATTCAATGGTTTGTTTATGGGCGACGGCGGGCTTCTTGCCCACCGCGCATGTGCGGCGCCGGTGGCGTCCGCTAGGGGCGCTCCGGTTTGTTTGTAAACATGAGTTGGTGTATATTGACTGGGTAGTCTTCTGACACCTTGTCAAATCGCCTGGCAAAAAGAAAGAAAAAAATATATATGTATATATTATCACGAATTGAGGCGACGAGAAGCGAACAGTGAACTGAAGGATAAAGGTTTTATTGGCGAACTTGTGCCAACCAAAAATAAGTAACGAAAGAGCGTCGAGGCAGCAGAAAAGCGGGCGGCGATTCGGCGGCACTACAGAGTGCTGGCGAGACTGACTCGACAAGGTCGCGGGTAGCTGCTTATCGACCGTGTGTCACTATCTCGAAAGTTCGGCAAAGAAGGCTCCAGCGTCGCCCGCTCGGGCGAGGATGAACTGGCACTTTCGAGAATAACAAAGCAGAGGGAAAGTTACGCCTGGTGCGAGAATGAACGGGAATCTTCTAGAAGACCGTGACCAAGCGTTGCTTTCTTGGGTCTGCGGGCGGCAATGTATATGTATATAGATTATATATTTTGTGGAGGGGAGCATCAATGTCCCTTTAATGCTGCTCCTTGAGTGTAAAGGGGCAGTTTCCATGAAACAATCTTTATCTCTTGGTCAATTCAGTCCCTATTCCTCGCTTATATATTTTTTTTTTTTTTTAAGTGCGCACTAGCATTAATTTGTATCTGGCCGTAGTGCCATAAGGGGAGACAGTACCTAGGGTGACCACCTTCCTGCTAGCGAAATGCGGGACATGCGGGGTAGGGGGCGGTAAAGGAAATTTATTAGCAGACGCACAAGGAACTGAGGATCTGTTCACACATTTCTTACCCCGTACTGTTTATACACCTGCTAAATGTATTGCAGCAATTAAGCTCAAATAATTTCCATTCCCAGTGATATATTTTTTTTAATGCCGAACATGTTATTCTGTTAAAGTTGAAAACATAAAACTTGACTGTATCAAAACTCAATGCATCAATTGGAGATAAGAAATAGTAAATCTTTTTTGGGGTCATTATTTCCTGTCAACGGTTACTTTTATCAACTTGGTCCTACAGAAACTTTTCACATATGTTCTTTCTCGACCATAGCAAGTGTGGCTGTCTTCACTAAAAAAAAAAAAAAAAGAAGATCCAGAGCAACCCTTTCGCATTGACGCAGCAATTTGAAAATAATTACATTATTTTATATTACCTTTTGGCAAGCAATTTTTTTTACAATATTTTGCGCACGCACACAACGGCGCATGTGCGTCTATTCTTCTGCCAGAACGACAGTCATTTCCTGCAATGCTTGGATAGAAAATGGCGTACCATTTTGATTCACACGATTACCAGCAACCTCTGCGCTTCCCCGTGCCCCGTTGTTCGTCAGCACCACGAGTTACCGAGTGAATTTTACGACAGTGTGAAATGCGGGACATTTTGAAGATTTTAGAATTCCTCGCAGTACACGAGACCTCAGTTCGGGACAGTCCCGCGAGTGGCAGGATTGCGCTGCCAAAACTACCCCGCTACATGGAGCGTGTATTAGGGCTGGCTTCCTAGCCCAGAGTGTCGTGAAATCTTACGATAATACGGCCAGGTGTGTCTATAAAAGACTGTGTCCCTTGGCAGGAATTGAACCTCTAGGCGATTCCATTATAGTCACTCGCAAGGTGAGAGGATTTTTGGTTGTCCCGCTTCCAGCACGACCTTCCTGGCTGTGATCGTCATTCTTCGTGTTGGGGAAAAATCGGTCGCCCCAATGGACTCGCGTAATCGCATAAAATTTGTACTTGCCTCAACACTTCCGCATAAGGTCCCCTTGGCACCAATTTACACCTACGTTAGCCCCTACGAATAAAGTCGCAAAACTCATTATGGGGGGCGCGGCTTCTGAGCTCACAAGTGCTCCCAAATAAACACCCAGGGGTGTCAACTGGCTTTATGCGCAAAATAAATGTACATTCTTTTTTTTCTTTCAAATGGCCTTATGTTGGCCGGAATTTGTGCACCGGACACGCTTAGTTTTCTCGAAGACGTCACGATTTCATATTTTAGCGCTTGGGTCAAGCGAGCCTTAACTCGCCGCCGCCGAACAGAGATGAAATCCCGAGGCCACCATTTAACGTACCCACCGAAATAGTATCGGTCTGCTCCTTCGTCGTTCCGGAAAGGCGAGTCTATGTGGTTCAACCTCACGCTCTATGGCCAACGCCGAGATCTAGAAATTTGTGATGAACTAAATGAGAAAGTTCCCATTCCAAATAAATGTTGTTTAAGGCTACTCTAAAAGAATGACCCCACAATGTCACTTGTCGTACCACCTTTGTTAAGGGGGGACACCACCCCAAACAAATGCATGTTTGAACCACTTGTCTGACTTAACTGACATTTACAGGGCTTGTTAATGTTGATAACATTTGTGCCAAATTTTGTTAACCTGGCTCAAGTAGAAAAAAAATTGCCAATGTTCAAAGATGAAAGTAAGCGTGTCTGCATAGGAAAACTATCGTTTTGAAATTACTTATAAATTTGTCATTTTCATGTCTTTAGCATAGCTCAGAGCAAATAGCTATGGAACCATATTTCTATATTATACCACCTTCCTGACAAAAAAGCCACATAAACACAAATACTGTTTTTCAGATTTCCATCCTTTGTCCAAAATTTTAGTTCTTGAGCATGAAAAATGACAAAAATAAAAAATGCAAGCTCATAGCTATCTTCCCCTTAAAAGTTCACACCAGAAAAACTCATAAAAATGAATCCAAGTTGCGTAATAACAAAACAATAGTTTTCTTCAAGGGGCCCTGCAATCATATTTAAGCGTCTACCTTTTTTGCGGTTTCCACGTCTCTTAGGATTCGGGCGAGCCAGCGGGCACGGAGAGAGTAACTAAATATCAGTGAGTCATATTTTAACCGGACGACGCGGAAACCTCCTCCACCGACGAGGGCGACCCGCGGTACCGAAAGCGCGCAAAATGTGACGTCTTTGGTCCTGGGCTTACTACTGCTCAGAGCCGATAAAAGCTTCTTTTTAGTCGAAATACAAAACATAAGTGGCGCGAACCGTTTAAATTATTTATAAAGGTAGTTTCTGTTCAGTATTTTAGATCAGAAAAGAAACGAATGCAGTTTATAAAGTCCGGAAACAAGAAATGACCCGTCGACATACCCACCACCAAGCGGTGGAAAAGGCGGCGCATACTAGAAAAGAATAGTGGGATCAGGCGCCAACACGGAAAGATCCCGGATGTACGCGGCGGCGCTGCGGTCGTTTACGGACTGGAAGAGCCGACCGCCTCCGAGCGTTCCGAAGACCTTCAGCGAGTAGCTTTGTCTTGCGTGTTGGTCATTTCGCGGTACGGCAGCGCGAAGTGGCTCCCATTCTGAACTGATCTTTACCCCGTGTTTGCTGTCGTTTGTGGCCAGTGAAGTGTCATGCCAAATTAGTGTTTAATCGCGCAGCAAATGCAATGAGAGCCACTCTGGCTGCCCGCTCTATACAGCCTATCCAGAACACGCTTTAGTGGCGCCCTCTCGCGCCTTCGACACGCAGTGTAGCAGCCGCGAGCGCTCGATGAGCTCACTACGCCTGCTCTAGTTCACGGCCACTCAAGCAACCAAGGACGTCATGAGGGAGGTTCTTTTTTGCTTGTTTTTGCAATTCTAATTTGCCTATAACTTTTAAAATAAAGCGAAATTCGAGAAAAGAAAAGTTACGTTAAGTTACTACGGTCAGTGCGCTCAGGTTTGGTGCAAATTAAAAACTAGTAAAAAAGTGCTTGCAGGGCCCCTTTAAGTGAAATTTGTGCCAAAAAGTGGAATGGAGTAGAATGCGTTCAAAGTGCTCCTACTTTTTCTTTAGCATTGGTGGACCGAAAAGGATTTATAAAAGGTTAACCATGCAGTGTAAACTAATGAAACTTTCTGGGAACACTCTCTAGATGTTGGTGGATGTAAATATGTCATTTTTCAAAATCAACCTTTTTTGCAGAAATTGTTTTTTCTGGGCAGTGTCCTTTCTTAATCGCTACAATTAGAGAGAAATATCATGAATTTGAGGGATGTGTATCAACTTTGAGCCCATAGACACGCGGGAAAAGAACCCCGGCACTTAAAGGGATGCTGAACCGAAATCTGGATTCCACAAAACACGCGGCAAAAGCGTGTAACGGGATGCTACGAACAACAAAGCATCACTCATACAACGGTATCTTGAATGGATGAGCGTATTTTTCAACAAAAGGAGGCGCATTCGACAGAAATGTTCACGTCATGTTTCTCCGAGGAGAGGGAACGGCCTCGCGTCTTCTCTGCCTCGTGTCCTTGAGGGAGCGAAGCGGAGAGAGGAGGAAACAAGGTATCTTCACATCACGCTCCTCGTTGGCCTGGTTCAATCTCGACCTCTTTTTCCGAATATACGGCTGTCCATTCGAGATATCGCCTCCCGAGTAGTGTTGTAGGGATTGTAGTGTCCCCGCCTACATCTCCAGCATTGTTTTTTTGAAATCCAAATTTCGGTTCACCATCCCTTTAACCCTTTAACTGCCATGGGCGAGTCCCACTCGTCCACGCTTGCCGTGCTAATTCTCCCAGTGACGAGTCTCACTCGTCCTGCGATGAGGAGATGTCTCTTACATGCCAGAGACGAGCTGGGCACGTCCAAAGCGCTTCGTTGTTACCGGCAATCTCCAGATGGCGCTCGGCGACCCAAACTTTTTTCGCGCTCCGCCAATTTTGGAGAAGCTGGAGCAATCGTCTGGCTGCCTGGGTTTTAAAAATGGCGGCGTCCTCAAGCACTTGCGGCAGCGGAGATGCGCATGTGCCACGGCGAAAACGCGTTTTTGCCCAGATTCAAAGCAGTTCAGATGAAGAAAAAAAAAAAAAGATGAGGAACTGCTTCTGGACAGTGCCAGCGATTATTCATCAGACCTTGAACTGAGCTCGGACGAGTGCGACACAGGTGACGACGAAGATTTACAGGCATCTCGGAAGTGGACGAAGCTTGATAATGAGAAGCTGCCGCCTCTACCCCTCGATTTCCCTTTCTGGCGTCTCCCGGTATGACGGCTACAGTTCAAGATGAGCGCAACCCTCTTGAGTTTTTCGAGTTATTTTTTGACGACGAGGTCATCGCCCTGATCGTGCAAGAAACGAACAGGTACGCCTCACAGTTTCTTGCAAAATATCGTACAACTAATGGCTCTCACGCTGCAGCGTGGAAGCTGTTGACTGCGCAGGAGCTCAAGGTGTTCCTCGCATTGATACTGCTGCAAGGCATTATAGACAAGCCTGAACTCGCCATGTACTGGTCGACCAGGAGGATTTTCCAAACCCCCATCTTTGGTGAACTCATGAGCAAGAACAGATTTCACCTGATAATGAAGTTTCTTCATTTTTCCGACAACGAAGATGAGATTGATGAATCACAGCACCCCCAACCGAAGCTTTGCAAGCTGTGGCCGCTGCTGTGTCTCCTCAAGGAACGGTTTCTGACCCTCTACGTTCCTGAGAGCACTGTAGCAGTGGATGAAAGCTTGATGCTGTACAAAGGAAGGCTGTCCTGGAAGCAGTACCTGCCCCTGAAGCGCTCACGCTTTGGTGTGAAGTTCTTTCTCCTTTGCGAGTCTGGGTACATCTCTAACCTCATCGTTTACACCGGCAAGGGGACTGTTACGCCGGACGCGGACAGTGCCATGGGCACGAAGGTCGTCCTGAGCCTGATGGAACCTTTTCTTTGCAAAGGGTACTGCGTCACTGTCGAGAATTACTACACCTCTCCAGAGCTTGTAAACAAGCTCCTGCAGCAAAAAACCGATGTGTATGGCACGGTTCGGCCAACAAGAAAGGACGTGCCCCCCTTCAAAGACCTCAAACTCAAGAGAGGAGAAGTCGGGGCGTTTCAGCGAGGAAAGTGCATGGCCCTGCAGTGGCGCAACAAAAAGCTTGTTACCTTGCTGAGCACAGTTCATGATGCCACAGTCGTCGAAGGCGTCAACGCCCGGAACGAGAAAGTCGTGAAGCCTGCTGCAGTTTACGACTACAACAACACCATGGGAGGAGTCGACAAGAGCGACCAGAACCTCTCGTACTACCCGGCTGTGAGAGATGGGCAGAAGGTCTATTACAAGAAGATCTTCAGGCACCTTTTCGACATGTGTGTCTACGACTCTTTTGTTCTCTACAAGAAACAAGGAGGCGCACTCAGTCAACTGGACTACCGACTGGACCTCGTAGAGAAGGTCATTGCAGCAAATCACGATGAAAGCCAGCGGAAGAAAGTTGGAAGAAAGTCCGACAATGAAGCCACGCGGCTTACAGCTCGCCATTTTGTAAGCTTCATTCCTCCAACAGAGAACAAGCAGCTCCCGACTCGGCGCTGTGTCGTCTGCTGCAAGGCCTCGTCCACTGGAGGGACCAAGATCCGGAAGGAAACAAGATATTGGTGCAAAGACTGCAACGTGGCGGTCTGCGTAATCCCATGCTTCGAAATCTACCATACGAGGACCAACCTCTAGATTCTCTAAGTCGCTCCTCAGTTGGGCACAGGATGTCAAGAAAAAAATAACATTTTGCCAGTTTCTTTTTTTGCAAAGTATGAATGTTTTATCTCCGTAATAAATGTTCCAAAAATAACACGGACTGTTTTCTGTTTGAGAAGAATAGAAAAATTGCATTGGAAGTAGTCATTACATATAAATGCAAAAAATAATGGCATTTATTAACAAAGGTTCAATATTAAAAATTGCTCATAGTTTCTTCTTTTAAAATAATGTTTCTAAACAATACAGGAAGAAAAAAATTTGGGAGATTCGCATCATTTTTTGAAAAAATATTTGGCAGTGAAAGGGTTAAAGGGCCGACACTTCCTTACGTTTTTACTAGTGATGGACCGAATGTGCCGAACTTCAGATTCGGCATATGCCGAACTTTTGAAAGAAAGTTCAGCAAAGATCTGGCAAATGTCTGCAAACGTGCGGGAACGTGACGGGGCCATGGATTGCAAATGGGCGCCGTGCGATTGTGTAGTTATCTTCATACAGTGTAGAACAACCAGCGGTCACGGCTTGGTGTGGGTGTGGGCAGCACGGTAACTGTGCGTTTGTGAGCCTTAGCGAGTGTGGTTCTCTTTAATATTTTCTGCCTCAAGGACAGAAGATCGACCAGTAACTTACGCAGTCCACCGAGCAAGTGACAAATGATGGGGTACATTCTGGATAACGCAATTTTCATTTGACCTTTTTAGTGATGCAACGAGGTAATTGAAGCATTGACCAACAATTACTTTAAAGGGACCATGAAATGACTTTTTTACTTTTGCCAGATAACTTTTACATTAAACCTTCAACGTTCACTGAATGCCGAACAGGCATCCGCTTTTGTCTCGGTTCATTAACTTCTATACAAAAAATGAATGAAATACTGACTTTCTTTCTCTCCAATTGACTGCAAAACAACTTGCGGCGTAATTTTGACGGTCGTGACATACCCTGGCACAGGAACCGGAAGTTCTCTCGGCAGTAGGAGAATGGGAGCGTTAGCGGCAGCGAGTTGGGGGTGCGCCGGTGGGTTTTACTGCGCTGATGGCACCGATGTATTTTCTGAATCGGCGCCTCTCATTGCCGCGATAGCCATGGACACATCGCAGCTGAGCGAGATTCAATTAGATATGCTGCGCTGCAGCGACAGCATGGGACTAGTCTCGTACGCCGGTATGCCTGTTGGGAAGTGCGGCGAGTCTTTCGGTGAAGACTCCAGAAGTCAACCCAACTGTCATTGTTGGCGAAAGGCGGCCCGTGTCAGTCGTTTGCAAAGCGACGTAGATGGAAACAAATTGCCGCGGGGTTTTTCGCGGCCTCGGAGATGCAGGAGCAAGCCGACGTTAAAAAAAGATATGTTTGAACTATGACAGTGTCAGCAATAGCCACGTAAATACCTGTTCACACTCGGAGCGGATGCACGTGTTTGATGGAAGTGCTGTATTCGCGCTGTTGGTAAGCGCTTCGGGACCGATCTTCTACGATTGCAACTCAATACTGACGTGACACTCGGCAAAGGAAGGTTGGACCGACATTGCACGTTGCTCCCCCGAACTGTTATAGCTCGACAGTGACGTGCAGTCGTGTCAGAATAAAAATGGCATACTAATAGCAAAGTGTACATACAGTGTTACGAAGGTAATCCGTACGGTGTTTATTTCAGCTCTGTATCACACAAAACAAGAAGATAGAATCGACGAAAGTCCCTTTTCGACGACAGTGTTCGTCAACACTGCCTCGGAAAACAAGGGGAAGAGATGGACCTCACCTTTTAATCTAAAATTGAGGTCAGCGATCAAACTATAATAGGGAAGGGTCCACAACGGTCGCGCGGGCGTATTCCATTCAGCACGCCAGCCGGTCGTGGGCAGACGGTCTTGGCCAAGTAGCGTTGAAGCAACGCTCCGCCGAGTCGGAGTGCCTGCTAGGCCTATCCGCCGAGCTCGCTTGGTCGGTTGATTCGTCGCCGTTGTAGCTTTTCTCGGGTGTTTGTGGATCCAGCGTTCTTATTCATCGTGGTCCGTTTCAAGTACTTTTTTCTTGCTGCTTGAAGTAGGGACGCGCGAGAAGAACACATAGAAAAATAAACGTTCATTGGTCGTCGCGACACAGTAACTGAGCGACACTGTCGGCCCTACAGTAGTTGCTTCGTTTACCACACGATAGATGGCGCTTGGCTCTCAACATTATCAAATTTGGCAATTTTAGTCACATCTCTAATTATGCTCCAAAATGTGGATCTGAATATTACAGTCGAACCTCGATATATCGAACTGCGCGGTGATGGCGAAATAGTTCTATACAGCCAGAATTCGACATATTAAATCACATCAAAAACGCGTCAAAAACTTGTAAAAGCGCGTGGCCGTCGCGCTCCGCGAAGCGCCGACAGGCGCCATATGCGCGCCGACCGACCGCAGAGGCTGGTGTGGCTCGTACTTGGCGAGAACCTGGGGCCACTCTGGATCAAGCCACTTCTTGATTTCCTTTTCATTGGCGTCCATTTGTGCAGCGACTTCTCAACATCTGCAAAGGCAGCTTTGCGTACACGCCGCGTGCCTGAGTGCTGGTTCTGTTCTGCCTTGGCCTTTATGTCCCTCTTGTTTTTCAGTAGAGTACTCAAAGTGCTTCTTGGTAGGCCTAAAGCTTCGGCGACGCTCGACTTTTTTTCTCCATTCTCAACCCACTGGATAGCTTCCAGTTTTGCAGCAAATGTCAGGGACGTCCGTTTTTTAGTGTTTGGAGCCATCACTCACGCAAGGCAACACGACACACGAAAGAACTACGATCACACGCGTAGCACTACCGATAATACCGAGGAGGAGGAGTCGCTGCGGCAAATGCAGTGCGTCGTTGACAATGCGACGAACTATCCAGGCAGCGGCGTGCGCGCGCCGCTACGTTCACGTGGCGCCCTCGGCGTGTGCGTAGGCAGTTGGAAGCGCCCAATGCGCCACCGCTATCTTCGAGGGTGTTGCGGGAAAGCTCGCCGCCTGTCAAAAGAGCGCGGGCTGTTTGGGGTGGCGGAGTTCGATATATCCATTTTATGCCCGACCCCGTTCGAAATAAAAAATAAGAAATGCATGCGATTTTCCGCGTGATATAGAAAGCGTTCGATATAGGCAATAATTCTATATATCCGTGTTCGATATATCGAGGTTTGACTGTATTTAACAAAACTTTGAGGAAACATTCGCCGGCTATTTATTGTTTACGATCGCGGTTCTGGTGAGGTAGGCTCTTACCCAATAGGCGACGTGGATTCGGCTGACGTGCTCCGTTCCCGCGGATGCATCGTAGTGAAAAGGCGAAGGAAAGAAGGCGCAAAAGAGTCCAGTTTTCTTTTAAAAGTTCTATAGTGAAGAATATTTTTTGGCTCCCTATTTTTGTGTTTCTTTTCACACCTTTTACAACATGCGGTGGATGAAATTCGATTTCAGAATCGTTTCATTGTCCCTTTAAAACACTCCTTGCAATTATAACAATCCTGTTTTCGACTCGCAAGAAGTTTGTGCCAAAACAAAATAATATTGCTTTTTAATTAACATTAGTATGATGTTTTCATGCATCTACATAAAACTAAACACAAAACTATTATGCTCGACGTTACACATCTGACCATTCCTAACTCTTCCCATCTTCCTAAACATCCGTGTGTCTTGACACCAGAAACTGGCATTTTAAAGGTTAAGGGAGGAGGTGGGGAACTAAAATATATTTTTTGTTTCTGGAGCTATTGGCATGAAATTTACAGTCTGTTGGTATAAGGGCATTGATAATAACTGTAAGATTTGAATTAATTATGATTGTTCACTTTTGAGTTACATGAGTTTTTATGTTCCTTTGTTCTGCCAAGCCTGAGATATAAATGGACTATAGTATGAACATTAAATTCGCTAGACAGGTATCTGAATATACACCCAAGGGAGTGACAGAGCCCTTTCGGTGAATTCCATTCAAGAACAGCTTTTAATACAAATTCAAATGTTCATGTCACCAAAGTCATTAACAGATATGAAAACAATTTATGGATTAAAAAAAAATTAACATCTTATTGCAAAAAGTGGGCTTGTCACACCCTTCTACTACTATCTGTCATCAAAATAAAAGAAACAGCGCACAAATCGAACAACTGCTTTGCGAGATATGCTTGGCAAAAGTAATGTAAGATTCAATAAACACCTTCTCGAGAAACGAAGTCCCAAAGTTAGATGCAGCACAACAGTGTCAAAAAGAACCCGCAGCATAGTCTGTGGTGCTGTGTTCAGCTCTCCTCTTCTGGCGTGCATCTTGCTTTGCGTGGTGGCGCTTCATGGCCTTGCTCAAGCGCAGAGAGTCCTTTTCCGAGGCCCGCCGGAAAGCCAGGTGTGCAGGCTGGAGGTTCATGGCACTGTTTATCTCCTGATGTGCCCTAGCACAGCCAGCATTGAACCTGATGACTGCCTCGTGCAGGGCAGCCTCTACAGACACCAGTGAAGCATGCTGCTCCTTCGGCATCGAAGACCACAGTACCGAACGAAAGCTTTCCGCAGCATTTTGAGTCTTGGCTCCCAAGCAGCGCGTGAGGAGCGCCGTTTGTGACAAGCGCTCGTACACAGGCAGCATGGCCTCGGCAACATAGTTGGGGAGGCAGTACTTGTGCTTTGCCAGTGGCTCTCCTTTTGCCTCAGCTGCCCTGTGCCTACACCAAGAGTCTGCTCCACTTGGACACAGGTCGTGCTTCGGATTTTCATCGGTTGAGGTGACATGGTAAAAGGTCGCCAACACGGCCCGCTTCATGGCACCCACGTCGTTGCTGTGATTCCTTATGGCCCATCCGTAGTAGCCAGTGAGCTTTTCAATTAGTCCTTTCGAGAGGCGGCCCTTTCCTCCTAGTGGCTTGTCACTCTTCTGCGAGAGATTTCGCAAAGCAGTCCCCATTCGTTCCTGCACATGGTTGAGGCATTCTTCTTTCTTTATGGGGACAAACCCATAGGTTCTCTCTTCGGTTAGGGCACCAAAAGTCCTGCTGTCCCCATTTGAAATCAGCGTAGTGTACCGCTAATTGTGTTTTTCCAAAAAACGCCCGAAAAGTGCAAGTGCAGCATCAACTTCCATCCTTCCAGAGTTTGCATCAGTGTTCTTTTGGCAGTTGTGGTTTTGTAACCACTCGGCGTACTTCTCGTTTCCAGGCTTGGGTCCAGTCTGGCAGCCGAGACACAGATTGCAGAGCACTTCAGCATCTAGAATCAGGCCGGTGTCGAATTCTATGACGCTCCCAACGCCGACATGGGAACTGAAGCCCCTCTTGTGCCAGGTGCCATCATAGACGACGGCAATATCCCTGGTAAAACTTGGGTTTATGTCCTTGCATATACTTTTCACAGCAGCAGCGGACTCTGCGAATATCTTCTCTGCAGAAACTGCAGCCGACTTGCTGACAACGTTTTAGAGGTGTTCCTGATAAGTCTTGTGATGGAGTCCTCGGTGGGACACGTTCATCGTTGACCAGAAATCATTCAACGCAGTCTGGCCCTTGCCGATGCTCCTGATTGCCGATATTGCTCTCAGGTTCACGTCAAACGCGTTAGAGTCGGCCTTGTGTGGAGAAGACCAGGCGTGGGATACAACTTCACAGACGGGGCCACACAAGTTCAAGCTTCACAGCAAGACCCAGAGCAGTCGATTCTTGAATCTTCATTCCCGTGGCTGAGCAGCCTTGGCAGACCATGTAGCCAAGAAGTTCATTGATAGCATCTAGCCGCACGATGGTGAATTTCGATGACGAATTCGTCGGAGTAGGAGGCTCTTGCTTCAGAATATCAAACTTACGTTGCGTGGCAGACACGGAAGCAAGTTCAGCACGAATGGCATCGCAATGTTGCGCTGCCGCTTCAGTTTCCGCCCGAGAAACGTACTCCGTCTGCAAGTGCACCGTCGTGTCTCCCATTGAAGTTCCAGGCACACAGGAGCTGATAGATTCTTCAGCCGCAGTCGGTGAACACGTCGACACGACTATGTCGCTGCCTGTGGCAGGAGCCGCATCGGCGCTCGATTTCGCTGCTCTCACTTCCTTCATCGAGCGTTTACACGCTCCGTACGCAAACCTCGTCTTGCTTTTGTACTTACTCCTCCACATCGCTAGCCTGATTGAAGAAGAGGTGCGATCGAGAAAACAAAACCGACGTAACAATGGAGGAGTGAAAAGCGAAGCTGACAAAGCACGAGGACAAGCAAGCAGATCACTGCCGAAAGAGCAGACGACGCAAGCCCGCGAGCGGGAGGGGCGGGAGGAAGGGAAAGGCAAACAGCGCGCGGGGAGAGGGGAGCTCACCGTGCGGCCAATAGTAGCCGCTATCTCCTCCGCGCGCTCGGGGAGCGCGCGCTCTGTCCAATCACATTCTCGCGATTGCAACATAGGAGAACGGCAATAGCGCCCTAACCAAGCGGCCGTAGCCGTTTTGGGAGCCGGCAAAAAAAGGAGAAAGAATTCACGTTCAAAACAAGACCAAGATGGCGGACGTTGGCCAAGTGCATCGGGAATGGCGAGCGCGCGAAGAAGAGTTGAGTTTTGACGTTTGATCGTCGCTTGGAAGCTACCCACGTGTCGTAGATATTCGTTTTTAAATATTTTCCCGTTGTATTCGGTACTGATAATTACAGGGAAGGTAGTTTATGAGATATACAACCCAAAAATATAGTTTTCGAAAAATCGACTTTTTCGCGATTTTTCGGTTTTCAAGGCCCGCGTCCCCCCTTAAAAACGAGACGTTGCGAACATGGTACGCACACTTTCATGCAAAGCCGACGTCAAGTGACTCAAATCGAGAAACATGCACATTACAATAATAGGGAGTTTTAGAATAACGTACGCAAATTTAGCGCATGTTTTAGTGGACGCAACGCAAGAGTTTTAGAATAGCGTTTCTCTGTCGCGACGAAAAGCCCAAGCATCTCGCGCTTGCGACGCCACCAAGATACAGTCACAATTTTTATTTCTGCATGAAATGCTGTAACTTTAGAAAAAAACAAGTTTTTTGGTCCAGAGTAGCATTTTAGATTTGTTTAAACATGAGAATGCGACGCGAGCGGTTGACCAGTCGTGTCCGCTTGCGTCGCCTCGACAAGAGAGGTCTCGTATGCTGACCCTCGGACATCGTACCTTCGCCGAGAAATGTTCGCGCGTCACAAGCATCCAGTTGCCGGTGATCGTTGCCAAACCGAGTACAATGTCATCCCGTATTGAAAAACGCAGTCGCGCCGCCGCCGCCAAAGCAGCCGCCGACATAATCCTGGGAGCCGCCATTTTTTTTAGCTCTGCTCGTCTTGGCTTTAGCCAACTTCTCATCACGAATTCTCCTTGAAGAAGCGCAAAGACTCTTTGCGTACGCACGCCATTTCCGAGAAATGGCGCACGCTAAAATTGCGCACGCAAAGCGCAAAACCTGGTTTGCGTTCGGAGCATGCGCAGTGGCGACGACTCTATTCTTTGCGTACGCAAAGCTTTAGCATGCGCTATTCTAAAACTCCCTAATATTGTTATCTTTTCTGGTGAAGGCTCAGTAACCATTGCATTCATTTTCGCGCACGAAACGGCGAATCCCAGAGAAGGTAAAATGCAGCGTTATTGCCTTTGTATTTACACCATGCACACTTGCAGGTAATGTTGCTTGTAGGTTTGCACTTGATGAGGCCTCAAAACCGAAACTCTCGAAGCGTGACTCGTGACCGCACTCGCTACTACCCAACCTCGCTGTCAGGCCACTTCTGCAAGAAGTCACTAAAATTATCAGTAAACAGACAAAAACAACACCGATGCAATTATTTTGTAGAATAGCACCTTATTTAGTATTAACTGTGCCAATATGCATTACATGTTGCATTTAGGTAAAAAAAAACGCAACCTTTTTTTAGCAAAAAAAAACCAAAATATCAACGTTAGGTCTAGTAACAATGTATTTTTGCTGAATCTTTAGAAAAGTTCGGCAAAAGTTCTGCTTTGCCGAATCCTAAGATTCAGCGCCGAATTTTCGATTCGGCAAAAGTTTGGCCCATCATTAGTTTTTACACCGTACCAACGAGCTCGCCTCAAAAACTATCTCCCCCCGCAGGCTAGAAGCCAAACCGCAACACCAGCCATGCAGAAATTCACAGAACCATTGCTCGTAAAAAAAGTAATAAAACCGCATTTAATTCAAAACTGGGATTGGGCGTGCTACCACTCTAGCGCGACCGGGTAGTTGCCAGTGAGGCAGGCGGTGCAGTGGCCGAGCTCCTTGCTGCCCCCGTTCTGGCGCTGGACCCCCTTCTGCACGGCCGTGGTGAGCCCCTGGACGGAGAGGTAGACCAGGCTGGCTGCCCCCAGGGCCTGGGCAAGCTCCTTGGCATTGAGCTTGTTGGCGATGAGCTCCTCCTTGGTAGGGATGTTGATGCCCATGTAGCACGGGTAGTGGAGCGGGGGAGACGCAATGCGGATGTGCACCTGCGAGGGGGCGCGTCTCAGCCGTCGACCGCGGAGGTTTCGCACATTCGCGCGGGAATAGCTACATGCTGCGCGGACGTGCGTCTAAGTAAGATTCGTTCTTGTGCCCCTGCCGGAGACATGCATCAAGTTGCGAAGCTCTCCGACAGAAGGGTGTGGCCATCCACTCACCTCCTTGGCCCCCGCATCCTTGAGCAACTTGATGATGCTGCCTACGGTGGTCCCGCGGACGATGGAGTCGTCGATGAGGATGATGCGCTTGCCGTGGAAATTGTCCGACAACGGGCCAAACTTCTTGGCTACTCCTAGCTGCCGAAGGCGAGTGCTGGGCTGGATGAAGGTGCGGCCCACGTAACGGTTCTTGCACAGCACCTCCTCGTATGGAATGCCCGTCTGCAAATGCAAAGAAGAGCTCCTGCTGAATCGGGGTTCCACAACGCGCTAATATCGTGGCGGTTGTCCTGTTCGATTCGAGAAGCAAAAAAAGCCGAGCAATCAGTTTTTCGCGACAGCACCACTGACAACAATTAAAAATAGCAAGATCCATTAAAAAAAAAAAAAAAAAAGGCAGTTTGCTTTTAATTTGTCAATTGGTTTCCATTGTTATGGCCGGTCCACACACTCGTGTCTGGAGCAACTACTCCAACTGCAACCACAAGTTCCCATGACAACGTAGCACCATGCGCCCATTATAAACGACGGAAGGAGTTGGACCAAGCTCCGTGATCCACGGACAGATGTGCCAGAAATGGACTTTGGCTGGCCCAGCCTGGTAAAAGTTCACGTTACATGCAAAGTGGCAATGTTAACTGTGGCACTCGTCTCGCGTCGCGAGCATGTCTTACCTAGAGAAGACTCTTCCACTTTTGCGGTGACATCGTAGTCACGGGTTCGAGAGAGCAAAAATGCTTGCACCCTCATGCACTGGTGTTGGTTTAGTGTTTGTGGCCTCGCGCATTATTTTGCGTGCTGCATAGGCGTTGCGAAAGACTTACCATCTCCGCAAAACCAAGGGCGGCAGGGGTGGCAGACTCGGGGACGGTGCTGACGATGTCAGCGTCCACGGCAGCTTCCCTGGCCAGCTGCTTGCCACATTCTCTCCGGACGGAGTAGACCATTTGACCTTAACGAAAAAAGCGGTAAACGAGTTTCAAGTAACCTTTAGCAGCCAAAGGAAAACTAATTGGCTGTCCCTTTGACATTCCCCAAAGGCATTCTGAATTCATAGCACTCATTCGCACTCCTCCTTTTGCGGGCACAGTAACGGGATCTCAAAGGGTACATTGGCAGGGTTCTGCAATTATATAAAACCTATTAGATTATAATTATATTATGATGTCATTTCACGGTGTCACTTGACATCATTGTGCCACGTCATGGTGTCACGACGTCACACTGTCACATGACGCCATGTTTTTCACGTGGCGTCACAGTGCCACATGACATCAAGGCGTCCACATTTAGAGCGCCTTTGGGATGACGTCAGTGTCATGTAACACTGCGAAGTCATCGAGGCTACATCCGCGGCGACACAAAACCCCCGTATTTAATAAAACTTCTGGTACGACTGTGCATGGCACCCAGGTCAGAACGTCTCGATCGACAAGACTGGTTGCCATCACCCACCTTCGAAGATGCTGTCAGGCCTGGCGAAGTAAACATACTCGAAAATGCAGAAGGCAGGCGGCGCAGCATACGGCCGAGGTACCACGCAGATCGACTTGGGTCCGTGCTTCGTGATTTCCACGATTTCCCCAGGAAGGACCTCACGGTAGAGAACGCCACTGACAGACTTGAAGGCACACGATTCCGAGGACACCACCCATCCTTCGTACTCCGGCTGTGGATTGCTCTTGTCTGCAAGCCAGTTTGGGTGCATCAGTCTATCTTCATCGGGACCTCAGCGCTGCTTTGTGGCGGTTGGATTTAATAGACTTTTTGCTAGATGTATTTTTGTGGGTATAATTATTGTGAATACATGTTTCAAGTGCAACTGTGCTTCAAAAGATTAAGACAGTCACTAAAAGCAAGGCAGTGAATTCCGATATGCTTCGCTTGAATTGAAACCAACTTTTTCGAAAGCAGCCTTTAATTTTTTTCAAACAAAATGTGAAAACACTGCACAGTGCAATCCAAAAGTGGGAACACTGGCTGTTAAAAAGGCAGCAAAGAAACCTCACCCACCTTGTGGTGGTTTATTACGATACAACTTGATTTTGCTGATCCAATTTCCAATTGAGACAACAGAAAAAGGCTTTCACCGTCGAGCGATTGTCAGCGTACGAAGCCACCCAACGTTTTTAGGTATCTGCCATGGTGGCTGCTTTTTAACAGATGAGAGTTGTTGCGATGCGTCAGGCATGATCTTCATAGATTGTTTTTTTGTTTATGTGCAAGCTTCTCTGTGCAGTTAATCTGTGCCCTGTCACACAGGCTGTCAGCTGCCATGAAACAACTTTTATAATCTTTTTGAAAAACATGAAAGAATAAAACATGTAGGGACGAAGACAAACAGTACAGTTCATTCAACTGGCAACCAGCATTTAATGATGCCACGCCCAGTGTGTCAGCCCCTCCTTTCCCTGCAACCCGAAATCCCTCAAAAAAGGAAGAAAACTTTATAAAAAAAAAAAGAAACAAATCGGGAGAATGAAGAGTCTGTTAAGGAAAAAGAAGAATGCAAGGGAACTGTTAGACTAAGGAAAGAAAATGAAAAGGAAGAATAGAAGAACTCCTGCCTCAGAAATTCACTTCAGTCTTGGATAAACTAAGGGAAGGGGATGCAAAGCTCAAATCATCACCGGCCATCCGATAGGACTGAGTTATTTCTCTGCCAAGTCTGCCCTTGCGTTTCCCGATAACTCGGGTTGCCTGGAAGTGCAGCTCACAGTTGGAACAAATGCGGTTATGGCCCACAAAAGGCTGAAGAGATACGTTGAGGAGGGCTACTTGGAGGAAGAGCTCCCTGAGGCGAGTGTTGAGGTATCCGACTGACTTCTGCGGCTAATGGAATGAAGTACTTCACTTGATCTTTGCAGGGGACAAAGGGACATAAGTGGTGGTGACTACACGTGAGGCCTTCTTTCTGGGAGGACAAGTGCTTCCAGAATCTAATATTGGACGTATCAGGATGGAAGTTGGAAGATTGCTTGGGTACCTAGCCTCGAGGAGGTGTTTCTGCCGTGTTGATATGCCGAACGCAACTTGGTGGTCGCAGGACTTAGCGCGGAAAGAGATAAAGAGGGACCGAATAATTCCATGCTTGACCATTGTAGAGTGAGAACTGCAAAAAGGTCGAACAGGTTTTTTAGAAAGCTGTTGGAAGGCCCAGCATAGACCGGAGGGGAGAAGACCAAGATCTAGGTAGTACTGTAGACCTTCGTGTGTGAGGAAATTTAAGGCCAACGATGAGGAAATAAAGGTGTTCATAACACAACTAGAAGAGACTGAGTTTCGGTGGGTGATTAGGTTGTTGCCCATCAACCGAAAACATGGCAATCCTGGGTGAATTCTTCAAGGTGGGCTTTGACTTTACGATGAACGTGCAAGAGAAAGACCTCACTCAGGATGGGTGCAACGCAAGACCCAAAGCAAATCCCTTTCTTTTGCCTGAAAACTTAACCCTTCATACCCTACTAGCATAGTCAGCTCCTTTTCTTGTTCTTTTTCTACCGTCCTTCTTCCTTTTCATTAGGAACTTTCAGCAAACCGTTACCGTGTTCCACGTACCACACTACCAGAGCCTTTGAAGCATGTTTTTAAGCGTGCACCCCGCGGCGACGGTATCACCCAGGCGCGTTTAAAAGCGTGTTTCAAAGGTTTTGGTAGTGCAGAACACAGTAACGGTTTGCTAAATGTCCCCATTTTCTTTCCTTAAACAGTTCCCTTACATTCTCCTTTTTCTCTTCTTCCTTAAAGGGGCACTGACACATCAAAATCATATTTTTTTTATTATCCGAAACGATTAAAAACGATGCCGGGACATTACCCTCAAAATTCAAAATTTGGGAATTCAGTATTTGTGAAGTAAAAAAAAACAATTTCCAAATGCCGAATTCGAAGTTCCCGCGCTATCCACGCCGGTGCGTTGACGTCAAATATTGCGGAGTCCTGAGAGTCCACTTTCTTTCACGACTCACTGCTGTTGCCCTGGCGACCCCAAGCGAGGAGGAAAGGAGCGAGCGCCCGGCGGATCGGTTTTGAGCGGTGTCGCCTGTTTTCCGTGGGAGGATACAAATCCAGGAGACGGCACCACAACGAACTTCCGATTTTCGGTATTTCAAAAAGAAGGGCCGTAGTGCGTTCGCAATTGCGTTAAAAAACATGTTTTAGGATTTCCGTTATTAAATGTTATAGAGATGCCGCCTACAAAGCTTCTAAATTTCCTGATCCTTGATGTCACGAATCAAAAGAAGCGAGGAGGCGAGAGGCGGGAGAATCAAACGCCAAAAATAAAAAGGCACGTGTGCGCGCGGGGAAGTTTTTTTTCGTGATGAGTTTTTTTTGCGTGTATCACTGCAACTTGCATCGTTTTAGACAATAAAAAAAATACGACCTTTGGGGTGTCAGTGCCCCTTTAACAGACTTCTTTCTCCCATGTTTCTTTTTTTTTTTTAGGGTTTTCTTTTTTAAGGGATTTTGGGTGTAGGAGAAGGGAAGGGCTGACACATTGAGGGTGACATCATTAAATGTTGGTTGCTATACTTAGTTTCAGCTTAAAGGCACACTGACACCCCCCCCCCCCCCCAAATTTATGTTTTACCAGGCGATCTACTATGGTGTCAGAAGGCTACCCAATCAATATTTTGCTACGGCATCACATATATTTTTAATAAAGTCAAAAAATGCAACTGCTCGAAACAGAAACCAGACTGAGGAGGAAGATGAAATATAGAGGAGAAAGATAACGGAAGTCATGTGGCCGTGCTACGTTTTTTTCAATCAACATATTTGCAGCTTTTCAGAAGCCACAAAAAAAGGGTACAATATTTTTGTCTATTTTTAGTATGTATCGAGTGCGTGCCTTCAATGACCCATGACTTAGATTATCTTTGGTGGTTGTGTCTAAACCATAGAAGATGGCACGTGACCACGAAGAAAAGAGTGAGTGCAACTTAAACGGGCCAGTTCTCGATCAGCAGTTTTCAAGCAAAAAGAAAACGAATTTCGGGCCGCAAATTGTGTTCTGGGCAGTTGGGCTCTCATATGTCACGTACAAATAAAAGCCTTGGCAAGCATAAATGCCCTGTCGGTGTCCCTTGAAGTCGAGACGCTACAAGCGCAAGCATGTGACCCTGAACAGTGCTTGCACTGCACGAGTGTTTGGCAGGAACACAGTAAGCCCGGCGCTCGCACTTGTAGCATCGGCTGCGTCTGAACTTAAGCTGAAAGGAAGTATAGTTGAGAAAGAACTGTACTGTTTGACTTCATCCCTACATGTTTTATTCTTTCGTGTTTTTCAAATCATCTTTACCAACCTGCTCCAAGTTAATTTTCAACCGTTAGAAAACTATCTCTCCTAGAGGAAGTCTATTTAGCTCTTCTTACCTCATTGTCAATTGAACGTTATGCACAAGTTTTTAGCACTACCAAGCTGCTTCCCACCGACACACTCAGTGCTGTTCTGCAGTGCTACACCGAACCAATGATCCCTAGGACATTTGTGTTCTTTGTCGTTGAACTAGATGTTCACTTGTTTCCAAGTTCGTTGAGACGTCATCTGGAGTGCTAGAGTAGTGGCGTTGTTTTTCCCGTGGCCCCAGTGGCCCACCGCGTGAAAGACTCGAACGTGGCAGCAGACGACGAAGCGATTCTAAAGCAATAAGACGACTGCAGCTGCTTCTCTGCACTTGCTGACAAACTAAGGCATCACAGACAATACAAACGTATAAAGTACACACGACAGGAGAATCCAAGCTGACGACAGGAGAATCCAAGCTGATACCGGGGAATCCCAAACGATGATGTGTGATGATGTATGCGCACTGCAGTCCTCTGCAGCTGGGAAGACGGATAGTGAAGACTACAAGTAGCATGGCGGTGGCACCACATTCCCGAATTCACGCGCCTGCGCAGTTTACTTGATGAGGTCAGCTTATTTTTTTGCCCTTGCAGTAGGTGAAGGCTGGGCATCTACACTGACAACACTGAACAAGGGCAAGGCTAGGGACACAAGCTCTTGGCTTCAGGAGCTGCCTCCAGTACATGAGACAGCACACACAATCAATACTTTGCATGGCTTTGACATAGCCTTCGCTTTGCATTAAGCAAGATTAAACTGGAGCATAGTTTCATTCTTTACTGCAGCATCAGTGACGGTACAATTAATTAAAATTATTTGTTCTGTCCTTGTCCTTTTGTATTTAAGGCTCTTGGCCAATAGTGTCGATCTCTGGTTGTCCTGCACGTTTCACCCAAAAGTCTCAACCAAAACCAGAGGAAGTATTGATGGTGTACAGACTGCCAGACTGACTTCTTAACCTTAGGTGCATAAAATGTGCCGGATTCAAACAAATCAATAACTAGGATTTCAGCATGGTTACATACCTTTGATTCCACTAGGGGGCACCAGGACACCGATACTGAGTGGTCGGTTACCGAAAGGATCTCTGACGGCGTAGATGGTGTCGTCGTACATCATGATGAGCGAATATGCCGTGGGTGTCAAGGACATCAGGTGCCTGATGCGAGCCGGCCAGTTTGGACCATCTTCCTCCTCTCCAGTTGGTGGAGGTTGGCTTAGGATCTGCATGATTAGCTCACTGTCTGAGCCCGTCGTCAGGCCGATGCCTTTGTTGAGGATCTGCGTAGATAGAACTGATTTAGGCAAGCGTGTTGAAATGTAGATACTTAAAATTGAAAGAATAAAAACATGAAGGACGAGGCAAGAACACTCTCACACTAATAAGCTGTTTAGTAGTTCTCGAGTATATGGTGTGGTCTTTCACCAGCCAATCACAACACCAACACTGCAGGCCTTGTTGGGGCTATATAAAACAAACCATGCGTTAATAAGATTTGACTCTGTTGGAGCTCCTCCTTTACATTTCTCAAGAGAATATCATGCAATCACCATGTAGAATATTTTTCTTCTTTAACTCTCACCCTAGTGGGGACTACAGTAAAGGCCACAAGCTTGAGCCTGTAGCTCTGCTAGATGCTTCCGCTGGTCGACGGTTTGGACAGCTCGGGTGCATTCTAAAGTAAGCACTCCACACTACTTTGCTGCAGTTTAGCAACATACTAGCTCTTCAATATATTCTCTAGGAATCCAACGATCCCAATGAACCCCTTTATACAAAACATGCCTCTGCAAATTGTTGTTTCCTTATCGGCTTAACAGTACTTCAGTCATGACCACCTTGGCTCAGCCGTATTTGGACCTCACCTGTCTTCGAAGGTTGATGGCATTGACAAGTTCTCCGTTGTGTGCAATGGCTAGCAGGCCGTGGTTGGTGTGCACCACAAAGGGTTGCGCCAGCTCGTGTTCCGAGCCGCCCGTCGTGGAGTAGCGTGTGTGTCCCACGCCGAGGTTTCCCTTAAGCTTTGTCATGGAGTCTTCATTGAATACATTACTCACGAGGCCCATGCCTCGATGAACCGCAAACTTCTTGAGGCTTTCTCCTTGGCTCGTCACGATGCCTGCGCTTTCTTGTCCCCTGCGAGATCAATCGTTGCTCAGGCCATGATCGAACATCGATGCTCTAGGATAGCCTTGTTATATGATCCCGTATTTTCTTCCGCAAACCTGCCCGTCATTAGTTCTTTATTTGCAGCGCCACACAGATGCTCATTTCGCTTCCACAGCAGAGGCTTTCGATGCCGTCGGCAATACGCGCACGGAGTTATTCAAAGAGGAAAAGGGAGACGCTAATAAAGCAGCCGTCACCTTGAGTGCGCCGGGCGTGAAGCGGTCCTCAAATTACGCTTTATGGACCACCTCAAGCCACGAACGCGTAATCGAAAGGTCATCACATGCACGCGATTGCGGTTTGGCGATAATCGCAGCGCCTGTCTCGACCAGGCAAGACTGAATCGTTCCTCACGGAATCCTCAAGGTGATTCGTAGGACGTTAAACCCGTAACCGATTACGCAACTTACGAGATTACTTATCCAGTTTATCGTCACTCCGAAGAAACAAAATAAAAAGCAACCAGACGACGGGCCCAATGGGCGCCGCCATTGTGGTTCCGCGCGTTGCCAGTTTCGTTTTCGGTTCGTGTTGTCTGCAACGCGCGTTTATCACGCGGGCCGGTTCCACTTGGCGGGTAGAATACATTGGCAACAAGGAAACTAGTTTTGCTTTTTGCCAACGTCGTTTATTTCGCATTCCCTATCGAACCGGCGCGGCAGCGACGGGCAGCAAAGCCTGCGAACGACTCGGCGAATATCTCGGACCTCAGCTGGCTTTCTTATCGTTCCTTTTTATCGGTCCCTGGGGCCACTTGCTTCGGCAGCGCGCCAGTGTGGGCCGATGCCGCTGAAACTGCATTGCCTGCGATAAGGCGTTCAGAGCGCTGCACGAGCTCGCTAGTATGGTAATACAGCTAAGTGTCCCAACGTCCGTAGCGGGACACCGTCCGCTCTTACCTGTGCTGGAGCGCCACCAGACCCAGGCAGATGATGTGACTGACGTCTAAGTTGGTGGGCCACTCGCCGCTCGCGATGCAGCCAAACACTCCGCATGCCTCACGAAGTTCGTGTTCTTCGTCAAACTTGACTTCGCTGCTGGTGGTGGCACTGGTCGCGGGGGCAGCGGTGGCCATGGCGGGGCTTGAGGAGTTCGGACACGGGGCCGGTGGACGCGAGAGCAGGGTTGCGCGGTCTCGTCCCGCTCGACTCTACTCCGCGTTGCGCGCTCACAAACTCGCAATCGTGCGGAGCACGTGGTGCCATTTTTTTGCTCTTCCCCTCGCTGCCCGACCCTCTCTCGCGCTCGTCGAAGGCCCGCCTCTTTGCACGGTTTTTATTTTTGGTTTTCTTTTTGCGGTACCATTTCTCAACGCGATATCCTTCCGCGATAAGTTCTGCAAGGTCAATAAGCCCTCCCTCCGCTTTTCGTTTGACTGGCTGCGACAAGATTTTTCTTCCTCTCCTCCAACGGCACTATTTGCGCGTGACCACGTGTTTGTGTCGCTCCGCTCTGCCGCCATCACGTCGCTGGACAGCTGGACCACCTTGGAAGACGCTGCTGCTCACGAAATCGTTATCGTTCAGTCGTTCAGTTACAGAGGCGAGTCGCCGACAGTTAACAAGACCCGCACCGTCCCGTACATCCGACCGTAGACACCATCGCTTCCAGACTTACTCACCCACCCAACAACATGGCGAGTAAGTTGCCGCGGTTTGCATGCATCGGTATCCTGGGTTTATTATTATTTTTTTATTTTAATTTTTTTTATTATCTTTTAGCGGTTTGGTGGGTCGGCGGTCGTCACCGTAGGGAGGGGTCCTGGAATGCTTGCTGTGTTTGTTTTGTCTCGTTCGAGGCGCCGCAGCTGCAATGTGAAACGACCCCTTGCCGTCACTCGATCTTCGAACTTTGGGGCTTTGTTTCTTGCTCTCCTTCTCATTTCACCTTTGTTTTTTCTTCTGGTGCTTCTGCCAGTTCGGTGTCGTAGGATGCTTTGTGTGGGAGACAGGCTGCTTGTCCGCGAGCGTTATGTTTGGCCTTGGAAGCGCCCGTGTTTATGGGGTATCCTCTCTCGCGAACGGCACACACGCACGCGTTTATGCGTTTGCGTGAAGGTATGGTAGTCTTCCCAGCGGCAACGCTAATAACGTGCCGCCGGCGTTTTGAAGCTTTGTCACGATACTAGGTCATAGGTCAACGTCTTTCTGTTGCTTTCCGTTTTTAATGACACAGGCTAACGCGTTACCGACTACGCATTCGGGTTCACGTGCAACTCGCTGAGAAATGCGGGTGCAATACAATAAATGCATCTGTGTGTGAAGACCACGAAGGACTATGTATAAAAAATATGAATTCAAATACTACACGAAAGTTCTATTAACTTTCAATGTTTTCGGCATTACTTTGTTTTTAGAAACTGATAGTATAATTATTCCAGAAAAGCTCGGGGTCGACATGACTAGGCATTTCGAAGCTCGTGACCCGGTAGGTAGTAAACTTTTATTGCAAGAAACATTCGAACGGTCGCCCTAGCCGGGAATTATTCGCCTTGTTTGGTCGGGGATTCGAACCAGGTAGCGCGCCGGGAGTGGAGTGGGAGCATCTAAAGTCAGGAGCATCCTCAGCCGCAACACTCTCAGAAAAAAAAAAAAAGTGTAGTATTTACACCTCTTGTCCCGTATAAGACACCCCAAAACTCTAGTTCGACGTTCAGCGCTCTCACGTCATACCGACGGTACCAACTTTCACGAGCGGCTTGATAGCCGAGTGGTACAACTTATTAAAATAGCTAATGTACTTACAGTACGTGTTACTGACTAAAAATAATTAATGGGGGTTTTCTTGGCTCTACTGCAAAACCTCAGTTTTTTTTCTTAGTCTTTGACACACATTTTTTTTATTTAATGAGGTATGTCTAATCGTCATCAGCCCCTCTTGAAATTGGGGCCGCCTGTTCGACGTCAATGCGCGGTACGTTGAACAAATGCTTTGAGGTGCATTATATATGGGACAAAGGGGTGTAAGAAGACACCCTTTTTTGAGAGTGAAGATTATACTGATTTATTTCAGTGACTATACCGGGTGTTTCGGCGAATACTGTCAAACATTTCGCAACTAGGGTGGTTAAGGAAAACAGTTATTTTTGTTTCTTCGGGCACCAACTACCGGGCAGACGTCAGGAATTGCAAAAAATCATACTAAACAGCTGACCGAATGTAATTGAAAACCCCTTAACGAGTCATTTTTTGTACGACTTGAAGCACGCGGGGGTGCGTTCAGCTTGCTGATCGTGCAGCTGGCGCAAGGTCGGCGATGCAAGCATTCGTCCACGTTTTCGCATTTCCTGCCTCGCTTCGGCTGCACGAGTTTTAGCGCATCCCGGGTGCTTCATGCCTTCCTAAAGTTCACCGATTTAGGGGTTTTCAATTACGCTCAGCGAGTCTCTAATAGTCTTATATCCATTTTCACAAATTAAAAGTTGACTACTAATTTTAGGTAATTAGTTTGCTGATTAGTACGCGCGTTGCTCTTCAACGGCCATCGCCAGTCGCCCCCCTGAAGGGTCCCCAATTAAGGCTTGGTTGGATGCTCCCCCATTCTTTAGTTATTCCAGCAAACCAGACTGGGGGATCTCGGTCGAATGTTCACGTTCAGATGGCAACGATTTTTCCGTTGACTTGCAGTAATTTGTAATGCAATTTGATTTTTGTTTTTTACATCATACGAAACATTTTAACGTTATTTCATTACAAAACAACGGTAATTTGTCAGCTTCAAGGTAAAATAAGACAGGTTTGCCTCACCCTGTTGCGAGGTTGCAACTCCTAGCTCACTGCAACACTTTACATAAGGCAATAGTGGTGGTGGGGGGGAGGGGTATATTGTATGCAGTTGATGCACGGACTTGGCAGTAGACTCCAAAAAAAAGGGGTGTATTGTTACACCCTTTGTCCCATATAATACACCCCAAAACTTCAATTCGACCTACAGCGCCCTATAGTCAAACAGACGGCCTCAAATTTTACGAGGGTACGTGTTACTGACTACAGAAAAAATAATCGGGGTTTTCTTGGCCCTACTGTAAAAACTCGGTGTTTTCTTTATGTGGTCTTCGATACATACTTTAGATATTTAAAAAGTTATATCGGACCGTTATCAAGCCCCTCGTAAAATGTGGGGCCGTCTGTGCGACTATAGGGCGCTGTACGTGTATTACATGGGACAAAAGGGTGTAAGGTGATGCCCTTTTTTTTTTAGCGTATTAACACTGGATGTTAGCACGCTTACTCTCGGGAAGAATTGCCATTTTCTGCATGAAGACGGCACCTAGTGACTGACCCACAAACTTGCTTTTGAGAAATGTCCTTGCTGTTTGGCTTGGAGAGAAGCCGATGCAAGTTCTGCGCATGCGCAAAACATCCGTTGACTGTTCTTCGCGGATATGCGGGTCTTCACTGCTAGATGGGAGAAGGGTGGGAAGAGCTCAGATTAGCACAGTGAGACTACAACTCTTGCAAAGGGCCCGATTAACGTAGCGACTAAAGAAAACGGACGCTGGAGCGCAAGCCTAACAAGAGGTTGTTGCGATCCATTGGCCTAGCAGCCGCTTACGGGCTCAGCAGTTATGGGTGACCCCTAGACTAAGAGTGGACATTCACGGGTGGCCCTGACAGCCACCCGTGGATTCAGGCCCAACAGCCACTCATGGAGCCAGCATCCATTGATGACCCTAAAAGCCACCCATGGATCCAGCCACATAAATTCAGCCCCATAGGGCTTTGTAACTAGGTGTTGATCCGGCTTGTATGGATGACCCTAGCTGACCCACGGATGTCTCTTGACGCGTGCCCTTGCCTCGTTCCAGCTGGACTGCGTCTGGGTAAGAAGGTCATCGAGGGCAAGACCAAGGTCGTGTACGAGCTCGCGGACGAGCCCGGTCACGTGGTCTTGGTGTCCAAGGACCGCATCACTGCCGGCGACGGTGCCCGCGCCCACGACCTTCAGGGCAAGGCGGCCATCTCCAACGCCACCGCGTCGTCCATCTTTGAGATGCTCAACGCGGCTGGTGAGCTCCGCTTTTTGGGCCGCCTGGTAGTGGATGCATAGAGAGTTTCGTGCTGAAAATTCGTTAAGACACGCATACATCGTACAAATGATGGTCTGCAGACACTCGAGAGTTGCATGGGGGTCGCATTGGTCATACCAAACTGTCTGAAGACATGCTCGTAGCATCCATGAAGCAGACGTGCTTGTCATGTCCGCAGTGATGTCTTTTGTACGAGCATGTGCCATACGACAGTGTTTATTAAATAGCAGCATTAATCTGAGACGTGGTTATTTGGGCACTTTGTCTAAATATTCTTGTTGTTAACGTCGGATAGTCAACGTTCAGTTCGAACGATTCAAATCTTGGTCAAAAGAATGCGTTTGTGTGTTGTACTTATAAACCACACGCGTATTATCAATACCACGCTGCAAAAATAAAGTGCATTTATTTTGGGGAAGGGGGGGGGGGGGGGGTTGCAGATTGCACCGTGAATTAAAGGCAGCGCAGGGATTTAGCAGACGCGTCATAGTTAAAGGAGCGCAAAACGCGTGTTGATCGCAGGAATTTCAGAGGAACGCGGTAGAAGTATTCCACTCTTTGCTAGCTGTCCAGAGATAATACGATATCATTCTTGCTAAAAAAAATAATAAAGAAAAAGGGTACATATAGCATTACCGGCGGCACTTTCGCTTAGTCGAAATGAACGAATTTGACATTTGCGAGGTAACAATACACGCTTTATCGCGAAAGGCTCTGTGTGAGACACTTTCGTGCCCTAAATAAGTCGATAACAAATCGGGAACATCAATTTCTAGTGCAAAATCTACGCAAACCTTTTTTATCTCGCAGACACTCGGCAATCCTGATAAGGTGGCCGACCGTATTCACCGGGTTTGTGACGCACGGCGGGGCGCGTAGCCTCCTCATCCGATTACGCCTTTTCAGTTTAGATGATAGTCGAAAGAAATCTGGTTTTTATTTCATCTTTTCCTACGACCGCGACTCCTTGCCTGTGTTGGAAGAGCCTCGGGCAGCATGCGCCTGCCTGGCCTCGAAAGTGGGCGAAACAACAAGGGAAGGAAATACTCGATGTACGGTCCGTTACGGTGATCAGTGTTCGGTGGGGAACGTGGCGATACCACCGTACGTTGGCCCATATCAATCATTTTCACTACGTAAAAAAAAAATAAAAAAAAATTTACGTTTTTTTTTTTATTTTATTTTTATTCAAATAGAGACGAACCAGAGGGAGGGAAAAGTCGCGAATATTTTCCTGATTTCACGCGTCCCGCCCTGATCGACTGACATACCGTTTACATTTTGAAAGGTTAAGTGTTCCAAAATCCTACGTGATTGGTTTTTTTTTTACCTCAATTTAGGTTGAAGTTAGGTGCGGGGAGGGGGGTGCTGTGCTAAGCAACAATTAACCGCGTGACGCTGCGAGCGCAAAAAAAGATGGAAACGCCGCTCGTCGAGTTATCGGTGACCTCTTGGGCATCTGCCGACTCTCGGCCCTGCTGTAAAAGTAAAGGGAAGAGAGATGTTGAAGGAGAGGGAAAAGACTCGTCTGTTCTGTGTCTGATCGCCGTGGCGCCGAGTCGTCTGCCCTGATAACAGCGGCGGCGGGGATCCTCCGTCGCCGACCGTCCACCCCGTACCAGGAATTTGTGCGCCGTTGATGTCTTCCGATAAATTCCGGACGGCTGATATCCGAGCGTATCGGCTGCAACTGCATTTTTGTTGCCGCTCGAGAAGCGCAGCGTGTCCATCGTGTCGTTGACACCCGCACAGAGGGACAAGCGAGCGCCAAGACCTCGCAGATTGGGTGCTTCCTGATTTTTTTCTTCTCAATATCCCTAATTTAGCTTTTTGGATCGTGCCTTAGAAGGCGAGCGCATTACGTGATCGTTAGTGGGTCCATGACGAGCACGCTGAAGCTCGGCGAGGGTAAAGCGGCGGACGCGTGCTAGCGTCGCGCTCTTCTGCTGAGACGCTGTAAAAGGCGCTGTCGGCGGCTTAGCGGCGTTGCTTGGAAGCGAGGACGTCTGGGTGGTGCTGGTCGTGGGGTGCGCTCATTTTTCACTCGAGGGACGTCTTGGAAGTACGATGCTCTCTTATGTTTGCGTTTGTGCGGACTTGGAAGAATTCACTGCCACTCGAAACATATAGTTCCGCGTTAAAGTAACGCGCCATACTCATCATCATCCTAAGCTAAACCCTGAGATAAGGTTTCGTTAAAAGGGTTAGTGCGTGCCAAAAATAACTGCTGCTAGGACCTGAGTAGGGTTGTTCGATTGTTTTGGTCCCGGACCTCGGTGGGCACTTGGGAGTTTGTCTACAGTCGGGAACGTCGTGAAACATGTGGTCCGGATGCTCGTTGGAGTCGAAGACTTCTTGTTGCGGCCGACAGCAGAGAGTTGACGATCGACGAAAACTCCCTCATGACCTCGAACGGCATCGACTCTGATCGCAGCAGTGACGAGACTCGAGAGTGACTCTTATCGAAAAATGGTGGATGCTGGTCATTTTGACTGCAACTCCCTCGCGATTGACTCCAGCGACGACATCGTCACGGATGAGCTCGCCGTCGCCCGCGATGTTCTCGCATGTGCTTGCCGGGTTTAAGTCGAGAGCGAGCGTAGCCTTGGAGTACGTGGCGAGGCGAGCCTGGGGACGAATTACGTCCCCAGGTGTCAAACGTATGTTTCTGAAAAATACCAAAATGTATACCGCTATCTTTGCAAAAATTTTTGAGCAGTCACCCAACTTTACTACACTTCCTGAAGATAAAAAAAAAAAAAATAGGGAAGGTGGCTCCGGCTCTATAAATCGGGTAATAGCGCAGTCCTATTAACTACCGGCCAATCTCACTAATTAGTGCACCGTGTAAAATCTTGGAGCATATCGTTTATTCGCACCTTGTTGATTTCCTAGACGCTAATTTTTTTTTTTTTTTTTTGACTCCCGTTCTGCATGTTGTTCGTAAATTCCTTTCCTGCGAGACCCAACTTCCGTCTTTCACTAATGACGTTCTTTCTATTCTCGATAGAGGATCCCTGGTAACCTGGTTGATTGTGTGATTCTTGATTTCTGCAAAGCATTCGATAACGTTTCCCGCAAGCTTTTACTTCTCACACTTAACCGCGACAATGTGTTTTTCTGTATTAAACGCTTTCTTACAAATCGCACTCGGTTTGTCTCTACTAATCAGGTTAATTTTCATCCCAGTGCTGTAACATCCAGTGTCCCACAAGAAATCCCCCTCAGGCCCTCTTTTGTTTCTAATTTATATAAACGACTTGCCTCAGAATCTTTCATCTACTGGCTTGTTTGCTGATGGCTGTGTAATCTATCGCGAACTTACTAACGAATCTGATGCTCTACTACGTCAGATTTAGATACAGCTTTTGAGTAGTGTAACACGTGGTCTACAACTTAACATAACCCAATGTAAAGCTATGTGTGTAACTCGATGTCACTCCTCACCACTGACATACTACCTCGGTACCTCTCCCATGCAACTCGTAACTTCCTAAAAATACCTTGGTGTTCATCAGGCACGTAACCAGGGGGGCCTCGTCTCCCTCTCATACAGCATTTCGTCATAGGCCACGAAACAAAATCCTGGCTACGTGTCCATATTACCCATAACATGTCACGGAACGTTCACATTCATCACATCTCTGCTAACGTCAACTCTATGCTTGGTCACTTTGAGCGAAATTTTACATTAGACCCCGGGTCATTGAAATTACTTTTATTTAAAACATTGGTACGTTCAATATTTAGAATACGGTGCAACAATCTGGGATCTCGGTCACCCAACACTCGTATGTAGCACTGAGGCCGTTCGAAATTGCGGCGCGCGATTTATCTTTTGTCATTATTAGCGTACCGCTAGTGTCTCGTTGCCGAACGTTTACCTCCAACTCGTTTATGAAGACTGTCTCTGCGTCTTCCTCCTTTGCGTCGCAAAGTTTCTCGTCTGTATCTTTTTTTTTTACAAATTACTCTAACCCTACTCTATAATAAGCTTCTTCTTCCTCCCCCGCGTATCTCTGCAGGCCTTGACCATCGATGCAAAGTAGGATTTCATCAGTGTCGTCCCAACGCCCACATTGACTCCTTCGTATACTCAGGTCTTCCGAGTAAAACCATTTTCCCGTATTTTTAGGATCCATATCATCACCACCTGATTTGTTCGAGACCGCGATAACCAATCATCTTTGTTTCGAGGTTAGCTAACTAACCTCGACTGTTCGTGTTGTGCATCGTTAATCGTAGCGGTTTGCGGAGAGGGTTGCGGGACGGCGAAAACGATCTACGAAAACTCCCAGATATTGGTGTATCACGGTATAACGTTGACACCAACTCGAGTGTGACGTCGTGCCAACTACACGTTCTTTCTGTGTGCGTCGCCGTGTCCCCGACGCGTTGTGGCAGAAGCGATAAGGGTGGACCGGTTGGCGGGGTACGCCTGCTCAGGGCGCCTCGGAAGAGCCTCGCTGTGATCGCGCGACATGGCTTATCTGCTGGGCTTCGCTGTCCTCGGGACGAATCTGCCGGGAGGGAGTCTCGCTCCGCGATAGTGCTGCCACTCGAGGAAGCTCCTCCTGCCTTCGTACACGCCTGGGTTTACGCCTGTCCTGGGAAACTCCTTGGTTCGCCCCTAAGCTGATAGTGCGCTGAAAGCTACGGACTCGCCGGGTCAATCAACCGTTTCTCTTCCATCACCTGACCCTGCGTGTGGCTAGGGGCGCGTATCGCGTGGCGAAAGATACACCGAGACGTAGGCAGGGCCGTACCCAAAAAAAAATTTCGGGGGGGGGGGGGGGGGGGGGGGGGTTTCGGGGACAACGGCGGCCATTTTGAAAGTGTCTGTTGTCTTATTTTCGCCTATGAATCATGTGCATCGGTGGCATATAATGGAGAGTTGCAGCAAACCGGAGAACCGGTCCCGGTTTGGTACCCGGTAGCCGACCGGCGCCACTGCGCGTGCGCAGAGGTGGAGATTAAAA